CAGCAATAGCCTTCTGTGGGAGAGAACAAACCAACTTCCAGCTGAAGAGGAAATTAGGAGAAGACGATGGAAATGGATAGGACATACATTACGCAAATCGTCAAACTGTATCACGAGACAAGCCCTAACTTGGAATCCTGAAGGGAAGCGGAAAAGAGGAAGGCCAAAGAACACATTACGTCGGATAATAGAAGCAGATATGAAAAGGATGAATTACAACTGGAAGGAGCTGGAAAGGATTGCCCAGGACAGGGTTGGATGGAGAATGCTGGTGAGCGGCCTATGCTCCTTCACGAGGAGTAACAGGCGTAAGTAAGTAAGTAAGTAAGTAAGTGTAATCAAAACTTCATTGAATTTAACAAAACAGAATGTATACAGAAATGATTCGAAGCCAATTTATTAAATCGTTCTTTCAATGAAAAATGGTGTATATGGTTATAATGAGCAATCACTTTTAAAACATTTAAAGCAATCACTATTTTGTTGGTATCTTATGAAATTCAGCCACAGTAGGACTACTATCAATTTATGTATATAAAATAATTAGTGTGATGACCATATCTTATTTGTCAGAACATTTACAAACATAATGAATGGAATGCATGGAGTACAGTTTATATTATTGTGTAGTATAAAATAATGAGTAAATGTAACTCGAAAATATGGGGATCTAAGAGCACGAATGTCAAAGACATGCGACAAGATATAAAGTTTTATTGTGACCTTATTTAGGCAAATGGTGGAGGGTTACTGAAAATGATAAATGGCAATTAACTTAAAATAATGTAATAATAGTAATAACGATATTAATAATAGTCATAAAATGAATCAACTCAGCAAAATTTAGTGGGACAAGTTCGGGTGTAATGAGTTAAAAAGAATAAGATCACATATAACTTGATGATCAAAACAAGAAAAAAATAAAATAATGGGATGTGAAAGAAAATACGTATTGTCAAATACTGCTTCGTGAACAAGCTACCTACTTAACTCCATATAAGCAGATATATACACAATGGTAAATGGGTGAATACAGTTTTGACGGACTGTAACGTGTAATAAATTAACATTTCCTTGACAATTATAACCTAATTTTTCAAAATTGTTTCCAGTACACTTTGATCGGTGATAAAACTAAACGTGAATTCCACAATTGTTTATACGAGGTTTATAAATATGATTATTGATAAAACAAGATAATGTGTAAATTTAAAATCATAAATGCTTTACTATTTGTTGTCAGAAATGTCTGTCACAACTACACAAAACATCAGTTGTGGAGATGCTTTAATCAATGGTTTTTGATCACTCAGGAAGACATGTATATATGAAACCCAATCTCTATTAACGCGAGTCCCAAAAGGCAAGCGTTAAAGAGAAACTTTATAAAATTATAAAATGATGCCACCAATATATTAAATGAACTAAAATAATAAGTCAATAGCGAGCATTAAAAGGGATTCACAAAGGCGGGCAGATGAAAAATAACTATTAATTCGTTATAAAATGATTTAATTAGGTAGTCGGTACAGTTGCAAGTAATAGGGAAAATAAAGATAGTTAACTAAACTGCTACTTTCGAATAAATTGAGCACTGGGTAGATTGTTATAAATAAATAAATAATATATTTGTAATATCCCAACGAGTAGAAAATTAGATTTTCTGACGTTTCGTGACTTAGTGTCAGTCACTTCTTCAGAGAATAAATAACCAAATTAATATTAATCCAAGTTTAATTAATTTGGTTATTTATTCTCCGAAAAAGTGATTTACACTAAGTCGCGAAACGTCAGAAAATCTAATTTTCTACTCGTTGGGATATTACAAATATATTATTTATTTATTTATTTATAAACTTACTTACTTTACTTTACTTACTTACGCCTGTTACTCCCGATGGAGCATAGGCCTCCGACCAGCATTCTCCAACCCACTCTGTCCTGGGCCTTCTTTTCTAGTTCCATCCAATTCTTGTTCATTTTTTCTCATGTCTATCTCCATTTCTCGGCGTAATGTGTTCTTTCGTCTTCTTCTTTTCCTTTGGCCTTGAGGATTCCATGTGAGGGCTTGTCTTGTGACGCAGTTAGGTGCTTTCATCAATGTATGTCCTATCCACTTCCAGCGCTTCTTCCTGATTTCTTCCTCCGCTGGGATCTGGTTTGTTCTCTCCCACAGTACGTTGTCGCTAATAGTGTCCGACCAATGGATCTGAAGTATTTTGCGTAAACAACTGTTAATAAACACCTGTATTTTCTGGATGATGGCTTTCGTAGTTCTCCAGGTTTCTGCCCCATACAGTAGAACTGTCTTGACATTTTTATTGAAAATCCTGACCTTGGTGTTGGTTGACAGTTGCTTTGAGTTCCAGATGTTCCTCAGTTGTAAATATGCTGCTCTTGCTTTGCCGATCGGCGCCTTCACATCTGCATCAGATCCACCCTGTTCATAAATGATGCTGCCCAAATATGTAAAGGTTTTTACATCTTCCAAATCTCCGTCAGTTGTGATTGGATTGGTGCATGCATTTATAAACTACTACTAATTAATTGTAGTGAAAGTGATTGTATATAAAACAAATTAGTACCTATTTATTTTAAAATATATTATTTGATTAGAGTTCAAAGTGATGCAATTATATAAGAAGGCAACAATCTAAATTCAGGTTATAGTTTAATCTGCTTCATCTGAATGGGACTAAAATACATAAATTCACAGGAACCCTGAAGTTTCGATTGTAAATAGCTATCTTCAGAAAAGAGTGAAAGTGAATAACGACACAAAGATTTGGAGATGCATTCTCAAGTTATACGGCGAAATGTAGGTTGCACTGCTATACGCAGTATGATGTTGATATAAAACAGCTAACGGAATGTAATCACGTTTCAGGTAAAGCTAGAGTAAATAGGAGGAAATAAATCAGTAGAATAAATGGTTAAGCAGCCCCATCACTAGAAACAATATAACCAATAGTGGCAGGGTTATCCGACGGTTTATGGAATGCAGTTTCTGCACAACTTCCAGATATGAACCCAGTGAAACATGACCATCAGACCCTTCCTATCAAATCCAGGTTAACTGAATGTATTACCTCTGTCTTCTGAATCTAAGACGACTATAAGAAAGGAGGATTTCCTTCTGCATGACACTGGGCAGGATGAAAATGAGTTTTTATCTTTTTTAGCATTCCGGCAAGTATATCCGAATGTATTTCACGAACATTGCTCGTTCCACTTGACGAATTATTTATGGTGGAAACTACATCGATCAGAAAACTCTAAGCAACAGATGAAAATTTTGCTTTGCGAGTCCGACAGTTAGCAGCATTAATTTCTGTACGAGCTACAGATGTCTGAATTGTATTTGACAATCTACCTGAGTTACAATTCTATGTAAATAATGGAGAGAAAATCAAAGTATTGATAAGTCACTTTGAAAAAAGTCCGGATTGAGAGACCGAAAGGATGCTGATGCCACGGACATCCTATTTCTAAGTTATACTGTGGAATATCTACGGTTAAGTTTGGGAATATATGCCTAAAGTGAACAGTGAGGTAGAGTGGTAGTATAGAGGCTTTACCCAACCCATTGATACTGCTCATTAAAACATATGGACATTCACTGATGCTCTAAACAAGGGAACAGAGTCTAAATACATACAAAATAGAACAGTTCGTTGGTGAGATACAGCAGCGACAGAATTTGTCATTTAAGCACACTCCCATAAATATCACTAATTGTTGAGAAGTAAAACATATTCCATACGTTCTTCAATGAATTATTAGTATTCCTCTGAAACTGTTATTTACTGACCACACTTAAGCCTTTCCAAATACCGATCAGGTTGATGAAATTCAGAAATCTAGTTTTAGTTTACTGGAATAAGTGTTGTCTAGATTTCGTAAAAACTTCGAATTCCTTTAAAAGTAAAACTACTACTACCGAGGGTAATAGGTATTTTTGTTCAGATAGTCTAGTGGTCCAGCTATATTTTTCTGTCATAAATAGTGAAATTAACGAGTCATTCTTTTCAATAACAGTCTTTAGAATTATATGCTAGATGCATTTATAATTAACTTGGCACTGTATGCTTAGAATCTTCCATCTTTCTTGAATTATGACAAAAATGGTCTAATGGTTAAGTGCTCGCGCGGGGAACCAGTAGGTCCTGGGTTCGAATCACGCGGGGTGCGGGATCGTGGATGCGCAATGCTGAGGAGTCCCATACTAGGACTAGACGGCCATTCAGTGCTTCCAGGTTTCCCATGGTGGTCTAGCTTCAACTGACTCATGATTTCAATCTGTGAAGTTTCTAAAATCTCCACAAACCCCTTCTGATAAAAATAATTCCTTTTAATTATTGAAACCATTTGTACCATGGAATGGACATTATAGAGCACAGATAAACGCAATCCAAGTATCTCTGATGATGAACTCAAAAGACATACTCTGATTATGAAACACCTTCAACTAGTCAAGTGATTTCAAGCAACAAAATAACGACTTTCTTTTAAAAACTGACGGAAAAAGTGGTTTCTTCAGAGTAAAATAAGTATTTAAAAATAATGATTGATAAAACAATAGATATTTATTTTGGTAGGCTAACTAAATGCCCAAGTTGGAATTGAGAAAGCGTCATTTTCACAATGAATTATATCTGTCTATGATTTTTGATGTTCATTTTAAAAGTACCACAGACTGAACTTGAAATATTTTTCAGATTTATTTTCTAGGCTAGTCAGAATGGTGGTTGTAATGATTTTACTATACAGGTGAGAAGGTTACTGTTAACTGGCCTAGTTTCATGAACCAATCAAAATGCTCTAAATTAAATCATCGTTTAGATTTGCCAACTTAAAGCGAAAGGTAGTCATCAAAGCGATTGGCTGTCTTAACTGGCTAAAACAAAAATTGATGTGAGCTGCATGGCCTAACTATTTAGGCAGCATAACTTTATTAGCTTTTCGACTGAACTAATTTTAATTCTTATAATTACCTTCAAATGCATATTCTTAATCATCAAATAATCTATTTCATATTATGCCCATTATACATATTTTACGACAGCAAATGTGCAGTTTTAGATGCTAGTTCAATTCGAGATGAAATTGTGGAAACATTATTCGCTAATTATCAGAGTCATGTTCGCCCTGGAGAGCTTATTCGTAACACAACAGTGGTAACAGTTTATATATCTGTATCAGCTATAACGTCTGTGGATGTACGTAATATGGAATACACTATTGATATGTTACTTCGTCAAGCATGGTATGATCCTAGACTAGCTTGGGATCAAATTGAGAAATTCAAACATTATACAAAAAACATTGTTTCTCCAGTTTTCAAAGAAAAAATATGGCTACCAGACTTGTTCTTTCGAAATGGTAAGGAAGGCCGATTACATAAAATGACTTGTGAGAACTTACTAATACGCATACAACCGAATGGTGAAATATTGTACAGTCAGAAGATCACCATGCGAATGGCCTGTCAGATGGAATTACGGACATTCCCTATGGATACACAGGAGTGCGATATGAATATTGGAAGTTATGGATATACATTAGAGCAAGTGAGCTTTGTGTGGAGAAACATATCACCTGTCACATTACCGGAGAATTTGCAGATATCAGAGTTTGACCCACCTGAAGTGGTCAGAGCTTATGACTGCACAAGCGGATACTCCACATCAACTGGACAATACACATGTTTAAACGCTACTTTTACGCTTCAACGGCAGTTAGGTTACTGGTTGGCAAGTACCTATATACCGAATATTCTCATAATGGTTGTTTCATGGCTAAACTTTTGGGTTAGTTTAGAGGCGATTCCAGCCAGAGTAAATTTAAGTTTGTTAACGTTACTTGGTGTGATAACTCAGTCGACCAGTTACGCAAGTTCCCTTCCAAGGGTATCGTATATTAAAGCAATTGATATTTGGACAATAGCATGCATAACGTTTAATTCTGGAGTATTACTTGAATTTGCGATCGCTTCTCATCTTGCTAGGCGTCAAAAAGTATCTGAATGGCAGGTAGAAGTTCGGAAGCTAGTTAGACGTGAACTAGCGAGGTGGTGTTCTGCTTGCCAATTACAATATGCACAAAGGGGACCATCTGCGCTCTCAGCATACTCAGCTTCAAGCAGATCAAATGAGAAAGTTGGTGAATACATCAACTCGGTAGCTGCTGCTGCTTTCGCCATTCAGAATAGCCCTGTACTAGAAAGACCAAGTCCTCAAATGTCTGTTCGCTTAACAAAGTCAGGTTTAATGTCAATGGCTAATATTAAATCCGGAAAACCAGATAAAGTTTCAAAGGGTGCTTTTTACGAATTAGTTACCAATGATTCTGCACTTACAGCTTTAGATACAACACAAAAGGATGCTCTTTTACCAACAAATGAACCACAACGCGTTAAAAAACCAGCGTCAATGTCGAAAATAGATAGTTATAGTCGATTCGTTTTTCCAGCATGCTTTTTACTTTACAATTGTTTTTATTGGCTTTATTATTTAGTGATTGTTAAGCATAAATAGAAAGATAAATAATGAATGAAAACTGTTTTCCATACCTCATAAATCATTCCTTCATTGTGCTGATATTTTGATGAACAAGAATTTTTATGTACTCCTCTTAATAAACCTTTGCTCAATTAGATCTCCATCGTGTCAACGGAAAGCAGGTAACTTATAATTTCAATTTTTTGCCTTTAATCAGTATTACTTGCATTAATTATCCATATTTAATGGGAAGTTGACTTGTTCTGCTATATAGTTTGAAACTTCAATTTCTCATTGAATAAGTTTGTTTTATATTTTCAGATGAATCTTCCTTCATTTTCGTTAGTAATAAAAGTAGTATTAAATAGTGTACGATATTATTTTCAAAAATTTACCTGTCGGTACTTCATATTGCTTCGTTTATTGTAGTTTTTTCCTCTTCTAATAACTAGTTATAAAATCTTAATGGAAAAAGTTATAGTAACCATTATAGATACGTTCAGTGACATTTATCAAAATTAATTTATTTACAACTAAGTAGTAAGTAGTTTAAAACAATTTATGGCCGCTATATCATTAAAAACTTAATTTTTGTAATATTTCCGGATATCCCATATATACACACTTATTGTATTCCATTCATTGCATTTACTCTAACATTTTTAGTGTACATATTTTATTCTTGTACCTAAATGCGATTTCTATTCAATCCTAGTATAGCATATTTAAAAATACAATAAGGCGTTACGAAGTTGTTACCAAGGTCCCATATCGTGTTAAGGATAAATAATCTGCTATAAACAATGGATTGTGTTTATCACTCATATATGATATGATTAGCATATCACGAAAACAAGTAGGACTACTGGAAACGTAATGTTGACATATTTCCTGTTTCGGAGAATAAGAATCACATCATATCATTAAGAAGTACGATAAAAAAAACTCACGAAACTAACCGTATGACAGATATTCTTGTGTTTCAATATATAGTATTGAAGTATATATATTTCGGCTTTGGATATCCAGAATGTTGCTAAATGATTATTATGCAATCGAATTAACGTATCCTATAATTCCAACACTCATCGCAGTACTTTTGGATATCTTAAAGACATACCTTATGACGAAACATTGTTTCTTGATCAATCAATACATCACTGATTAAGAATTCGAAAAATCATTCTACATACATTGGTTATGATTAAAATTTTATAACAACGTTCACAGTGTCGATAGATAGTGCCTTATGGAGAAATAAGTTTGCTCGGTGAACCAGAAAATTTTCTAAACAAAACCACAGGTATTAATGATAACTTTTGGAATATGAGTGTTTAGCTGGTAGATGAGCATTATGTAGTGTACAAATAAAAAAGATAATCACAAAATAAAACTGAAAACGTTAACTTCAAGGATTTCCACAAACTTTCAGTTTTTCATCCTTATAAAAAATCGACTTGTATCATCTTGGGTCTTTTCTTAGGCAAACATAGAGTCGAATTTAACAAATAAGTCTAATAAAGTAAACTGACTGAGTTAAATAGTCACTCTATATTACCTCATTATCATCAAATGTATATACATATCTGGATTGAGAAGGAACAATTCAGGAGTGATTCAGAAAACTCATTTTACATTGTTGATTTTTGGTCTGAACTAATGAGAGTCGTAAAACCACCAGAAATCCAAGTTTTTAGGAACTACATTGCTACTCAATCGTACTGTGACAGGTTCGAATCTTATTGTTGATTTGCAGTTAGCAGATTGGATATAAAGCAAAATTTTGCGTTTAGACAGCTAGAAAAAAAGACGAATATAGAGTATTTCTTATCAATTAAAGTGAGAAGAGAATAGCTACAGACGCTATCCTACTACAGTTTGTATTTTGATATGAAGAGCATTACTACACTACAGCTAACCATATGATAGTACAATCAGATTAGCCAATCAAGATATGATAACCTCATACAAGAAAACTACAGCCCTTTTTAATACAAAACGCTTAATAAGGTAGACATATTGTCGATGACTAATAAGGTAGTTTGAGACAAAAAATCAGGTTTGATTGCAATAAACAATTGGTTTGTCTTTAAATCTGATAAGTAATTAATTGTAGGGTTATGAAACACTATTCAAATTCTGGTGTCCCGCTATCAAAAAATCTCACGATCTTATTCGTAAGACTTTAATACGAAATTCAAAACTGAATCCAATTTTCTGATGACTAAACATCTCTCAAATAACTCAGAGTGACAATTATAAAATTACTCAGTTGCGCCAGTAGTTTAAGCCTATAAAATTGACTAAATAGAATTAAGTGGGTCTTGAGCGACGAATGATGAATGCAGTTATTTTTCTGATATTAGCAATCAGTGAATAAAAGACAAAACCAAATATCGAAAAGAAAATTAAGGGGATCACGATAGTTAAAATTTGAAAATAATATTAAACGAAATCGGAGTAATGTTTGAACTCTACATATTCTAGGCGATAGGCTCAGTAACTAAGATTATATGTGCGAAAATTAATAAGCGTAAAAGTAAGAAGAATGTGCCAGATTCATGGTTGTTTATTCTAAAATTTAAAACATCGCTGGAGTTCAATGAGAAAATATGTCTCGACACTATCTGAAAAATAATTACTTTGAAATATACATGCGATTTGGGAAAGCTATCTTGTTTTTGAAATATAACGACAAGTTAGTAATGCATCTACCATTCGACTATAATCACTATGAAATCCGAGTAAGCTACATCAGTATAGTTCAACGGCTTAATCGCAGGAAATTATCTTGAATACGACAATGTTTTTGATAAAATGTGCATAGAACCACGTGATGGTAAAACTCATGTAGTCCGTAATGCCAATGGAATTATAACACAAAATACTGCTCCTAACACTACTTGTTCTCGAAGGACATATTCTGTTAGGAAGCAGCCATTGCATAAAGGTTTCCATATTTCCAAGAGTGGTCAAGAAACGGAAGTAGTTATTCGGACGCGGATCAGTTTACTTTGGACCTTCTTTGAAATATGAAAAAACTGAATGCTAAGTTATCCCGTTTAAAGTATTATGCTGAATCTGGCATAATACTCCATATTTGACATACCTCTAACTGGAACAAGTTTCTCTTAATAGTACTTACAATTCTATTTACCCATTTACGCAACCAATCACATAGACGTTTCCTTTATTTGGGTACATCCCGACAATTTATTAAGTTATTTAGTAGCATATTTGTTAGGTATCTAATTTGGACAAGTCATTTTTGTATCAACCTACATAAATAGAAACACATCGTAGTTAACTCCTTATCAGTAACTGCAATGATTCAGTATAAACTCGCTACTTAGTAACTGGTGAGTGAAATTGGAATTACGCTGTAACGGTGCCACAAGAAAATTCCCATTTTGTTGTGCGAATATATTCGTTCTTGCTACATAGAAATACGGCTGACATATAGTATAACTGGCTCCTAACAATAATGAAGTTGATTCCTTTTTCATTTTCTGTTCAAAAGCAGTGTTTTATCTGAATGTAGTGGACCACACATTACTACCGTGACAAAAATTCGATGGTAATTCGGTATGTCATTATTTCTAATTATTTTAAATTTAGACAGTGAAACGAGACAGAAATGCTCTTTTTACTATAACGTGATTTGTCTAGTGTTTGAAAACTTGGACCTTGAATCACTTATCTCCAGAAACCTACTCTTGAACCCCGAAACGAAAAAACAAAACAGCGGAATTATGGAAGAAGTTTTACTTTCAAGGTTAGTTTATATACATAATATATGGGTGTTTATAATGTTACGTGGCCTTGATATTCTAGAGGCTTCTGGAAAACAAGATAAAATTGGTAATTAACTAAACGGAGGAAAACAATACAACTTGTCGTTTTTCAAAGTTCTAGTGGTAATTTTTAAGGAATGTTGATAATGGAAGTATTTTCAGCATTTTTCCAGTCTCTAAAGACAATTTCGAGAGCTCCTATCAGATAAATCTGATATTTTGGACACTTATTTCTACATTTCGGAATTCTTAACACAAAATAATGCACTTAACCGGGGAGTGGGTATTTATTTCACAGAGAAATCATAGATATTTCAATACGTATTTGTAAGATGACTTTTAGTAAATAACTTAACCCACCTTACTAGACTAACATTTCGATTTCCAAAGATTGATACCAGAATTTGTACTTGTAACGTTTGAATTCAAGCAATAAAATAGAAAAATATAGTTCAAGTGATGCTTGATAAATGAATTTTACTAATTCTATTAGGTCAGTATGAACTGAGTCAAGTGTATTGACGATAGAAACAACTACAAACAAAACTATCAACAATGAATATTTAGACCACTCTAATGAATATGTGAAACATTTAGCTACAAACTGCAAACGAAGCGTAGGTCTAAGTTTACAGAAACGATTCAAAATGTTGTTAAGATAGTTTATGTATACCAAATTTTTCAGGTTAGTTGTTATCAGTAACGATAAGATCTCAATCGTCCCGTTACATAACGCTTTTAATTAGCGCTACTGAGATTACTTTTTAAGATCTATGACAGAGTCGTCAACAAGAAAACAAATTACTTGGACAAAAGCAGTTTTTACTATGGTAAACGTTATATTATGGCATATTGAAGCAAACGAAACGTTTATTAATTTACAAATTCAACACAATGTATACTTTATTGGATGCATCATGGTGTAGTACGCTTACAAAAATGAAACAACTGAAAAGAGAAAAAAGATATAGTTATATACGAGTTCACAGAATAAGGGTTAAGAAGACATTCATTTTCTTTTATATGAAATTGCAGTTCAAATTAAGCGGACGGAAACAGGTCACTAAAGTGTTCGGTACAATATTTACGGCATTCATCTGGAAAAAAAACCGATAGAAGATATGCATCTCAAGGATAATTATGCGAATGTATAACCAAGAAGAGCTTCATGTGTTCAAGATTGCATTATAATGGCTGTGTAAAGACCTAGGCCAAACTATTCTTACATCCCTTTAAGATATA